ACACACACACACACACACACACACACACACACACACTCCTAGACCCTCCCTCTCAGCAGTATCATTGAGCTGAGTCCCGTGGGTAGCCTCAGCCCTTGGGGGATATTGATCAGTAGGACTTTTTGGATAGCAGGTACTGGCTGGTTACCAGCTCCTACAGGGCCGTTTCTTCCTGTGTCCCTTGTTTGCCATTTTGAGAGTCCCCTGACTGTGTTTATCAGCTCACTTTAAGCCAGGGACACCTTGGTTCATGGAAGAATACCACTGATGCAGACAGCTTTCCTGACGTTGGCTAGCTTTGCCTAGCAGGTTGGGTGAATAGATTCTCTCTGGCAGCTGGTTCAGAGGAGACGCTGCTGAGCCTTGGACTGGGTCGCAGGTTTCCCCTCAACAGATTGTCCTTGTAGCAACCAGTCTAAGAAGCCCTGTCCCCCTGGGATACCCAGGGACACAGAACAATCTTCTGGGCCTGGTCCAGCAAGGAAAGGAAATAGGATGTTTAAGTCCTAGGTTGGACACCTTGGAGAAAAGCCCTAGCCAGGCTGCTTACAACTGTCCTGGTTCTGATTTGGAACGAAGATGTGCCAGTGTAGACCTGCATTGGGAAGGAGGCCAAAGAAGGAGTAGTTGTCTCGTTGTTTGAGTTTGCTCCAAGCCACTTCCCAGTGACTGCCAAAGTCTCTTCCCTAAAGGTCAGTGCCAGAGTGTGGCTGAGTAGTTGTCTGTCATTGACTCCGGAACCTGTTCTATGCAGGATTTTCCATTTTGGCGGCATGCTAGAGTCACAGAGAAAGTGGGTCTGTTGTTTTGTTTGTTTGCTTTCCTTTTTACTAATGATGCCTGGCCTCTAACTAATGTGATAAAAGTCACGGAGAGACAGACATCTAGATATTTTAAACCCCTCGGGTCACTGTACTGTGTAGCCAGCTTTAACTGGAAAGTTCCCCCTTAGGAAACTCTGGAGGAAGGAGGGTAGGAGAGGAGACAGTTGATGAAGAATCCTGGCATGGAATTTTACAACTTGAAGTGTGGTCCTAACAGGGCCCAAGGAGCTGGTAAGAGCATAGATCCTCAGGCCTCACCCATACCCTCTGGAATCAAAATGTGCTCATCAAAGGTTAAGTAGTCATCTTTGGAGGCTGTCTATCTAATCTGGTGGTTTTCCACCGTGACTGCACATTAGAATCACCTGCCGTGTGTAAGCAAATTCCAGGGCTGGGCTTGACCAATGAACTGGAATGTCTTCATGTGGAACCCAGACAAATACCCATTAAGAATTTTAAGTGGTTTTATTTTTATATTTATTTCTTTTGTTTAGGGGGGGAGAGGGAGGGAACTTGTGTATGGAGGTCAGAGGCCGACTAGAGGGAGTTGGTTCTCTCCTCCTGTCCTGTGCATTGAACACAGGTAGTTAGTTCATCAGGCTTGGCCACAAGCACGTTTACCTGCTGAGCGTCTGGCTGCCCCTACAACAACAGACTATTCTCCTGTTCACCTGTCACCCAGAACCTCTTCCCTGAGCACAGCTTCTCAAACTTAAATGTAGGACCATGTGCAAATCTAGATCCTGATTCTGTAGGTCTGCAGGAGGCCCAAGACTCTGCCTGGCTAATCAGGGTCCCTTTGGTGCTTATGTTGCTGAGCTGACAAATGCATTTTGAGCACCAGGGATTTAGCTACTGATTTACTTCCTGTGTTGACAGCTGAAGAGAATGCGAGCCCGAGAAGGACATATGTTCCATGGTCACCTACCGTGCCATTCATTTAATGCTTTTAGTTTTTAACTTTTGGTGGTCAGAGTTGGGGCTTATTAAAGATAGTTTAATATAATTTTAAGCATGAAGGCTTAGAGAGAGGTGCTTAGAAAGGTAGACCCCGGAGCATTGGTGTGAGTTTCTCAAAGAAGACTCATCCATTTAATGCTTTTAATGAAGTAATTAATTAGTTAATGTTTGAGACAGAGTCTCACTATGTAGTTCATGGGAGACAGCCATGCAGAAGAAGAAGCTTGTGTGATGAGGAATGATTTGGAGATTGTTGCGGGTAGCAAGGGAAGGTGTGTTCACTTTGAGGAGAACTGTCAAGAATTATTAAGGGTGACTTTAACTAAAATTTAGGATAACAAATCTCACTTTTGGCTGAGTGAGTGTGGTGGCACCTGTCTCTTTCACTCACTCACTCACTCACTCACTCACTCACTCACTCACACACTCACTCACACACTCACTCACATACATACTCACACACTCACACACACTCACTCAAACACTCACACACACACTCTCATTCACACACTCACTCAAACACTCACACACACACTCTCATTCACACACTCACTCTCAGTCACACACACACACTCACTCACACATGAAAGAAAGGAAAGAAGGGGAGAGAAAGAGAACAAAATAAAACAAAAATTAGTCTTTTTCTTTCTTCTGAGGAGGAGCATCTTCAGTCCCCTCAGTGTTTTGCAGATGGCTGCTAATAACTCTACAGAGGAATGAGGAAGTGTCTGGCATGTCTGGTTTCTTCCCTATACTCAGTTGTTGGGTTTTGCTTTGTGTTTTGGTGGGTTTTTTTTGTTTGTTTGGTCATGGTTCTTAAACTCATAGTGGGATCTGGGGAATGTCTCCTCTTGGGGTCACAGCCTTGACTCCATAATAGGCGTGTATTCAGAATCATAGATTTATGATTGTGATACACGACACTTCCTCCAGATGCTGATCCTGCCTCCAAGAAATAATCTAAGATGTTTTACTTGGCCTCAGGAGAGCACAAACTAGTGCTTCCTTCACAGTCTGCCATGAGTCATTTGCTCTGTAGGTGAAAATGCATGTCCCAGGACCCATCCAAACTGATCAAGCCCATGTCTGTGGAGTGCGTGTGCTCAGTGCATGGCTCGGTGATTTTTCTCTTCCTGACCGTTTGAGAAACAAACGGGATGGCAGCGACATAGGCTGGAAGAAGCGGGCACTTGGCGTCTCTACATCTACCTATGGCTGTTAAGCCACAGAGATTTCCTAGAAGTGTGATCTTGCTACACAGAGAAACCCTGTCTCGAAAAACCAAAAAAAAAAAAAAAAAAAAAAAAAAGTGTGATCTTAGAGGAGTTGGTCTGTAGAACAATTTACGGCTTCTGACCTCCCATATTACTTCGCTGGCTTCTGCCCACTGACAAGGGAAGTAACCCTTGGCTCCTTGTAAATCCATACCCTTGGGGCTCCCTGGCCCCTCGCCTACTGTACCAGCCTTCCTTCCTGAGTTTACCATGTATCTTAGGAGGTGAGGCCTGGGTGCTGCCAGAGTCTAGAAGGGCTGGGAAGAGGGTTCCTTGAGGACCTTCACAGCCAGCCGCATCCTCGGTCCCAGTATCTGTCCCGGTGCATCTGCCTGGCTGAAGTCTGCAGAGATAGCTCTTGGGGCCAGAGGCAGCCGTGGCCCCAGATGGGATGAGCTTCAGCTGGACCAAGTACCAGTCAACATCTGGCATAGTTAACGTTTGTGTCGGAAATGGTGGATGCACCTCCTTGTCCCCCAAACAGGTTCTTCCTGAGTCAAAGTGCTGGAGAACCTCATTGGGCACTGGTGTCAGTGAGTCTGGCATGGGAACCGAAAGAGGGCTGGGGCCTCAGTTCCACTTCCTGCAGCAGGGCCCCACCAAGATCCCTCGCACTGCCCTCTGAGAGCTGAGGAGGAAGATCACCTGGGGCTGGCCGCCCCGTGGCGTGGCTCTCTGCTCTTAGAGGAGGAAAGGGTCAGGCGCGGGTGTGATCTGCTCTAGTGTCTAGGTAGGAGCACAGGTGGAAACTGACTGACACCTGGAACTCCCGCCTCCTAGGTGGCCCGAGGCAGCCGGGATGACACTTCTCCCCAGGAACCCTGCTATCTGCTGAGAAACATGACCAGCAAATCCCGTGAGTGTTGTCCAGGGGCTCCCCCAAGCTGGAGGGTCCAGCAGCCATCCTCAGCAGCAGTGTCTTGGGATTCCCTCAGTGGTGGTAGACAGGCACACTGAGAGCCAGGGATCCTCTTTTCATCCTGAAATACCTGGGTCCCAGCTCCTGGGACAGGAGCCGCCAGGGACTGCTGTGCTGGGGGTAGAGGGATGGGTGAAGGAGAAGGTGGCCTGGAGCCGTGCCTTCCTGTCTCTGCCTCCAGCTCCTCTGTGCATGTACCTTGCAGGCTGGAAGTTCCTGGCCATGCTGGCTCTGGTCCTTGTCGCTGTCATGGTGTGGTATTCCATCTCCCGAGAAGATAGGTACGTTGAACTGTGAGTACGATTTCTGTGTCTTTCCGTTGTTTCTTGTCAGAGATGGGCTGGTACAAGGGCAGGGTGCCTAACAAGGCAGGAAGCTTTTGAGACCCTCGGCCTGACCTCTGCTCTTCAGCGGCTAGCCTAGAGTCCTTTCATGAGGGTGGGTGGGAGGGGTGAGGGGTGAGGATCCAGGTGGTTTTTGTGATCTCTCACAGAGGAAATACTGGGGCAGAAAGCTCTGCACCCTCCATGGTTTGGGTTCAAAGTGGAACTTGGGTTGAGGAGATGCTAACTCTGTAATCCTTCTCCAGTGCCACAGGAGCTCTGTGCCATCACTGGGGAGGTGGACCCTGCCTGGGATGCTGGCCTTGGGGCCTCAGTTGACTGGGCCTCCTGACTCTTCTCTTCCTCTCTCCAGCTTTTATTTTCCCATCACAGAGAAGAAAGAGCCGTGTTCCCAGGGTGAGGCAGAGAGGCAGGCCTCTAAGATTTTCGGCAAGTAAGCACCCGGGGATGGGACAGGGCTTGGGGGAATGCAGGATTGAGGGGGTTTTGCCTCATTGCTAACTGGCTGGAGGGTAGATGAAACTGGAATGACAAAGGCCTGACCTTGTTCAGCCAGACTAATCTCTTTCTCACCCCTACCCTGTGTAGCCATTCTAGGGAAAAGCCCATCTTCCTGCAGCTTAAGGATTATTTCTGGGTAAAGACACCATCGGCCTATGAGTTGCCCTTTGGGACCAAAGGGAGTGGTAAGTTATTGCTCAGCTCAGTGGACTAGCAGCTCACGACCTGTGAGTTGTTGTTCTGTGGGACCAAAGGAAGTGGTAAAATCATGAGTTGTCCTACCCAAGCATGTGGGAAGTTCATATCCTGTTCATGTGAGCCACACTGTTGGCCATTGCTGTCCACTGGCTCCAGGCCTGGGTTCTTTGCCCAGACTCAGGTACCTAGGTCAAGGAGAGAAAATCTGGGGAGTGGAGCGGGAGCAGCCCTTTAGAATGCGGATGACCATAGTCTCGGTTTCTTCTGTTCGTTCTTTTTGTAGAAGACCTTCTTCTCCGGGTGTTGGCCATCACTAGCTATTCTGTCCCTGAGAGCATACAGAGGTAAGGAGGGATTCTTCTCTTTGCAGTCTGGGCACCTTCACCTTTCCCCGCTCCAGTGTCAGATCAGCTTGGTTAGTACCATGTCAACCAGCCTTCGGTCGCTGGTTCACTGAGGCCAGTTTGACACTCCCTAGCCTACCTGTCTCCAGGAACTACAGGTATTCTAAAACCACAGCAAGCTGGGCGGTGGTGGCGCATGCCTTTGATCCCAGCACTCGGGAGGCAGAACCAGGTGGATCTCTGTGAGTTCAAGGCCAGCCTGGTCCACAGAGTGAGATCCAGGACAGGTACTAAAACTACACAGAGAAACCCTGTCTCAAAAAAACAAACAAACAAACAAAAAAAACAAACAAAACAAAACGAAACAAAACAAAACAACAACAACAACAAAAATTATAAAAACCACAGCAACCTAGCCTGAGCATCTAGATGCCAGAGTAGGCAGAAGTGTTGCCATGGCAACAGATAGACCTGAGCAACAGGCAAGCGAGCTGTGTCCGAGGGTTTCTCCTCCCCTCCCTTCTCCTCTTCTCTCTATTCGTGCTTTTTTTTTTTTTCCTTTATGTAGCCCAGGATGGATTTGAATTCTGCACTTTTCTTCTGACACTGCCTAAGTACTGAGGTTACAGATGTGTGCCAGCTCACCCAGCTCTTGTTCCCGGGGTTGCCTGTGGTAATCCACATGCTTCCCTTCCTCTTATTATCTCTTTGCCATGCTGGCTTGTTTGTACTTCACTTTGATGCCCGGGACTTCAAGGTCGGTAAGACCATTAGCAGGGCCACTTAGCATGCCTGATCCATGCAGATCATCAGGGGCCGAGGAGAACCTAGAGGTGACCCGAGGCGGCCCCCAGGCAGATGCAGAGCAGCGAGAGTTCAGCAGAGCAGGGGCTCCTTCTGGGTTTGACCGCTCCTCTTCCCACGCAGCCTCGAGTGTCGTCGCTGTGTTGTGGTGGGGAACGGGCACCGGTTGCGCAACAGCTCACTGGGAAGTGTCATCAACAAGTACGATGTGGTCATCAGGTGCGTGACCATCCCTCCTGCCTCTTTTTGGGCCCTGGATGTCCCAAACGGGGCTGGCGAGAGGCCCGACATCTCCGGTAATGGATGTTCTTTCCCTGGTCCAGATTGAACAATGCTCCTGTGGCCGGTTACGAGGGAGACGTGGGCTCCAAGACCACCATTCGTCTCTTCTACCCTGAGTCGGCCCACTTCGACCCCAAAATGGAAAACAACCCAGACACACTCTTGGTCCTGGTAGCTTTCAAGGCAATGGACTTCCACTGGATTGAGACCATCTTGAGTGATAAGAAGCGGGTAAATTGGGACCGATGGGGGAGAGAGAGATGGTTATGGGGATGCTATCCTTGTCAGGGCTTCGTGTCCCACAGAGTGCCTTGTGATGACTTGAAAGAGTTGGTGAGGGGACAGCCAGAGCCTTGGGCCTCTCGCCAAGGGCATTGTTTTATAGGGCAGCTGATCAGCTGCCCTGCGTTATGGCTCAAGAGCCTGTAGGAGTTGGGGTGGCAGTCAGAGGCCCTTTGGGCTGGAAGGTTGCCTGGAATAGCAGCACTGTCAGAATGTGTGAGAGACCCTGGAACAGGGGAGCTGTCCCACAGTCACCTTGGAACGGGCAGTATTTTTGTGCCTTTCTTGATGGTCCTCACAAAGAGCCTGCTCCCTCACTTGGCCCTCTGGTTAAAGGCTGAACTGTCTGATCTGGCATTTTTTTGCCCCGTGTGTAGACAGTCTAAGGCTCAAGCCCCTTCTTGTCTGCATATCTCTGAAACAGGTAGTGGTCAGAACCCCGCACTCTCCACATTACCCTTCCTTCCTCATAAGGGGACCCTTCGACCTCCTTTGGTCTCTCATCTCTGGCACAAGCGTTACCTCAATTCTGCTGCGCGCCTGAGGTATCAGCCTTGACTTGTGGACCCCATCCTCTGCCTGAAGACCACCGACTGGGTTAGAGTTCAGAAACAGGTCTTTACCTGTTTTCATCTCTCCCTTCTGACCCTGCCCCCGCTAGGTGCGCAAAGGTTTCTGGAAGCAGCCTCCCCTCATCTGGGATGTCAACCCCAAACAGATTCGGATTCTCAACCCCTTCTTTATGGAGATTGCAGCGGACAAGCTCCTGGGCCTGCCCATACAGCAGCCTCGAAAGATCAAGCAGGTGATGAGAAAGAAGCTGGGCACAGCGAGACCAAGCCGGGAGGAGATTGGGGTCCCCGGGTGGAAAGTGAGGAGGAACTCTTGAGAGGGTGAAGCTTGCCCTTGACCTTTGAAGACAGGCTTCGTAGTGTGCTGCCCTGATGGACAGTGTGTACTTTGGAGAACTGAATGGGGGCACCCTGAAAGTAGGAGTGAGCGAAAGGTCTCGATTGGACTTGGGCACTGGACTTGACGATGTTTTTGGCAGGTTCTGGTCAGAGCCTGTAAACTGGGAGCTGCCGGTATACTCACTGGCCCTATCTTTGAGAACAGCCTGAGTCAATGAGGAGTTACTGTTAGACGCCTGTCTTGGAACATACTGATCTGATGTCTTGAGTGTCATGGGGATGGCGAACCAGTTTAGGGAGCTGTCAGTTTTGTGAGTCCCAGCTTTGATTTCAGCACTCTGTGTCCTGGTACTTCACTGGCAGGGTTTACCCCATAGTGTAGCTTTACAGACAGTTTTTCCATGTGTCTTAGACTTTCTCGTGGGGGCATGTGAGAAAGCAGAAGGAGGTCACCAGCAGGCATTGGCAGGACTCACGCACGGTTCTTCCACTTGCTGTGGTTATCAGGCAGGCCTAGGACTGGGGGATTTCAATTGCTTATCTGCATGGTGGGGATAATATTTGTGCTGACCTCTTAAGTCTATGGCAGGACTTAAGATAACGAGGTTGGAACACAGTGGCTGCTCTAACAGTATCTGTCCCTTGTTGTCCTCCTGTTAGTTTTCTAGAGACAGGCTGGCCTCAAACTCTTGGTGATCCTCCCAAGTGCTGGGGTTACAAGGATGAGCCACTATACCCAGCTAATATTAGCCAGATTTTAAATAAATATGCTTATTCTTGACTGTCTATGTTATTCAACACCATGCGTTGGACGCCTGCAGCGTGACTGCCTAGTGGTGAGCCTGAGCCCACGTGCTTGGAGACTAACCTGTGTCCCTGCTCTGAACAGATGCTGTGCAGCAGGATTAAGCAGTTCTAGGTTTCCTGCTGGATGAATGGGCCAGTGTGCTCTACTAACTGAATGCAGAGAATGCCAGGAGGAGGGGCAGTGTGGTGACTGTAAGGAACAGAGCTGCCGAGGAAGTGGTGGCCACGTGATTCTGCAGGACCCCAAACTGGATGCGAGAGCACAGGGTGGTTAAAGTGGCAGGGGTGGCAGTAGATGCCTGTAGTCCCAGCCCTTGAGAGGTAGAGGGAGGATTTCAAAGTTAGCCTCGGCTGCAGAGTAAGTTCAAAGCCAGCCAGGGCTACGTGAGCTCCTGTCTTACAAGGCAGCAAGGGTGAAGAAGAAGGCTTACCAAGAAGCAGTGAGGGGACAGAGACAATTGAAAGAGATGCTGGGAGAAAATTGGCTTTAAGAGGCCTTATGGAGTCCAGGAAGTGACTCTCGGGTGGGTGGGCAGGTGACGTGTTCTATAAAGCTGGCCGTTGGAGGTTAACAGGGCAAGCTTTCTGAAGTTTGAATATTAAATTGACCATTGCTGTGGATAACTTGGGGTGGAGGGAATGGGATCCTCACAGCAGCCCATAAGGTGGGCAGGCAGGCAAGGTACAGTTGATCCTGCCCTACAGAGGCATATATCATCCCATAGAAGATCCCACAGCCACGAGTGTCAACCCGTCAGGCCCCAGGAGAAGGGCAGGTCCCCCAGTTCCCTCATTTATAAAATGAGGCTGATAATAGTATCTGGGCATATGTGTTTGGAAGGGGATTGAAGGGGGTGGTGTATTATACAGACAGGATCGTGGTGATTGTCACTGTTGTCATCCTGCTTGCCATGAACCTCCCTGGAGACCCAGATCTGTGGAGGTGAATTATCAGTATGCTGCTGTGTTGGCCAGACTTTCATCCCTGATAGCAGCAACTGACAAATGGACAGATGGATTTTGCTCATGGTCTCAGAGGTTTCCATCAGCCATGGCAGGAAGGACATGATGGAACTGGGCACTCACATGTGGCATGTGGGGAGCAGAGAGAAAATACCTACAGGTCCCTTACCTACCAGACAGTGGCCACGCACCTTTAGGGTGAGTGTTCACTCTTTAGTGAACCCTTACTGTCCTTCAAAGACACCCTTAGAAATGTACTATAGGGGGGCTGGAGAGATGGTTCAGTGGTTAAGAGCACCGAGTGCTCTTCCAGAGGTCCTGAGTTCAATTCCCAGCAACCACATGGTGGCTCACAACCATCTATAATGAGATCTGGTGTCCTCTTCTGGCCTGCAGGCAGAACACTGTATATGTAATAAATAAATAAACCTTTTAAAAAAAGTGTACTATAGTAATTCTGTAGGTACGTCTCAATCTAACCAGGTTGACAAGATAACCACAGTAGCCACTAGACATAAACAATTTAAAACTTAGCAACCGAGGGGGTGGCTTAGTAGTTCACGACATTCACTGCTTCTGCAGAGTACTTGGGTTTTCTTATATGCACCCACTTTGGGCAATTCGCCACCACCTGTAACCCTAGTTCCAGGGGACCCAATGCCTTCTTCCAGCCCCTGGAGGCTTCTGCATACACATGGTGCCCATAACTCAAGCAGGCGCATACACGTAGAAATAATAAATAGTTAAATCTCTAAATTTAAAACTTAATAATCAGGGGTGTGGAGCAGCATTAGAGCGCTTGCCTAGAATATAGGAGGCCCAGGTTCTAGCTCCTGCACAGCAAAAAGTTTAGAATTTCATAGGGTAGCAAATCACTTCCTCAGCTGCATTAGCTGCATTCAGGTGCCCGGTTGGTTAGCCGTTGCCCCTTTGGACAGCTAAGGCAAAGGATATTTCCATGGCAGAGCACTGAGCCTGAGTGTGTGTGAGGTGGGTGGTGGTGGAGGAGGGGATTGGGGCTCTTTCAAATGCCCTCCTACTCTGCCCTCAGAAGCCAACCACAGGTCTGCTAGCCATCACCTTGGCCCTACACCTCTGCGACTTAGTGCACATCGCTGGCTTCGGCTACCCGGACGCCTACAACAAGAAGCAGACCATCCACTACTACGAACAGATCACTCTGAAGTCTATGGCGGTAAGCAGCCCTCCCTGCTTGGGAATCCAGTGAGCCACAACGAGAGGGATGCTGGGTGCGGGGGAGTTGTGGGGACGGAAAGTGGTCCGGGATGTGCTCAATCAGTGTCAGAAGTGGGACCTGGGCCTCTGGACACCCCAGCTGGCATCCTCTGCATTTGCCACATGACTTCTGTCTCCTTTCTGAGAGCCCACATAAGAAAAAAAACTCCCAAGGAGTGTGGGACCAGAAAGTGGGGAGGGAGACCTTTCTGAAGACAGAGAGCTACCTGGGGGCCCCTCACTGACTTCCTTGGCCGTCTCCACAGGGGTCAGGGCACAATGTCTCCCAAGAGGCTGTAGCCATCAAGCGGATGCTAGAGATGGGAGCCGTCAGGAACCTCACGTACTTCTGACTTGGATGAAAGCTGTAACACGCCAGTTCCCTACGCTGCCATCGGAGTGGCCCCTGTCTAGGGCTTCTGGATGCCTGGTGCCAGTACAACTCACTTGAACTCACCCTCAGTGGGGAGGGTGTCCTGGGACTGGCCAGGTCTCAGGAGAGGCTGTGTCTCTGACTCCTCTGGTGGAGTCCACCTCCAGACAGGGTGGACACACTGAGGCTACAGGAGCCTGGCCAAGGGGGCGGGGCTTGCTGCTGTGGCATCCCCTCTCTGCCAGCACAAAGGGGTTTTGTTTGTTCTGGGGGCTCCTTTTTTTTTTTTATTTTGTTTGTTTGTTTGGGTTTTTGTTATTGTTATTGTTGTTGTTGTCGCTTGTTTGTTTGTTCTTTTGTTTTGTTCTGTTTTTGAGACAGGGTCTGACTGTGTAGCCCTGGCTTATCTGGAACTCACTACGTAGACCAGGCTGGCCTTGAACTCACAGAGATCCACCTGCCTCTGCCTCCCAAGTGTTGGGATTAAAGGTGTGTGCGAACACGCCTGGCCCCAGCAACAAGAGATTATTTAACGTGCTATTTAATTAAGGAGAAGAAAAAATGCAATGGGCTGGTCCCGTGGCATTCACAGAAGGGACACAACACAGTGTTCTGCCCACTTTTTAATAAGATTTACAGAAAATTGGCCTGTTAAGGCCCTGACCTAGAGCTGGCCTCCCGGGAGGATGGAGGCAGTGAGTGGGAGGCTGTCCTCCAGAGAGGGGTTGCTCCCTCCCAGCAGGCATGGGAAGGGCATTGACAAGGGGGCTCCATCTAGAAGGGGCCTCACCTGAAAAAGAGATTACAAAAGACCAATAAAATATTTTTTTTTTTCCTAAAATGGAAGCACCTGTGAGGCTGTGTGTCTTTTCGGGTTGGGGAGAATATGGCTGGGAGTGTGATCGCGTACAGACCTGAGATTATAGCAGGATACAGTCATTTCGGCAAAGAATTTGTACTGAGATGGTGCCCAGGTGAGCATTGCCACCCTGGCAGAGGGTATGAGCAAGCAGTGCCCAGATCAGCCCTATCTTCAGACACCCAGCCTGGTGTCTTGCATCCCCAGGGACTAAGGAAGGGAGGAGAGGTGCAGGGTGCCAGATGGAGGTGGCAGCATCTCCTCCCCTGTCCTCTTCTCTGGGAATGGCATGTTTTCAGGACAGGGTGGGGTTAGACAGAGAAAGCTATTTCTCTTCTCAAATTAAGTGGGAATCATAAAACAGAGCCGGCGGAAGGTCCTGTGAGTGCAGCGGTATGGTTTGCCAAGGCTGGAGGACAGCGCTGGCGGGACTTGGCAAGTCCTGTGAGCTTGTCACTGGACCAGGGAATGAGGCTGCTTCTGTCCCAGGCCCCTTGGATCTTCAGTCCTGCCATTTGCTTGGCTCTCTGGCCTCTATTCTCCACCTTCCAGGCCCTGCTCTGCTGCCAGCTGGGCCTACTGCCACCCCCACAGCTGTTCCTTTACATCTGGAGCCAGGAGGGAGTGTTGGAACTCACAGCTGGGTTCCGCCCCGCCGGGCTTGCTCAGAAAGAGCTGCAGTCTTGAGGTTTTTTTTGAGACAAGCCAAGCCGGGATGCGATGGATACAGAAAGGCTTGGGAGGGAATGAGCAGGATGACACCACACTGGAACAGTACGGAGAACAGCCAGCCTCATCCAACAGGGCACTCCTGAGGAACAGCTCAAGTGGAGCTGTGTGTGGTCTGAGGGGATTCTGAAAAGCAGTTGGACCATAGTGTCTGAAGCCCCCCCTCATTTCTCTCCCACTGGGACAAGCTATCTTACAGGCTCCGTCCTGGGCAGACTTTGTAGGGGTTTGTGAGTGCCTCTAGGCATCTACGCTTTGCTTATCCCAAAAAGGGAGTATCCATTTCTCCATCCAAGGCCTTTGAAAGTGACTGTCTGCACATATGATCCAGCTGCCCTGGACTGAGGCCACTGCCTGATACTGAACATGCCTCAACTTGAGCCAGAAGCCAACACACTGGGTCACGCTGCCCCTCCCAGCTCCACAAGTTCACGTACATGGGGGAGTTGATAATCTTAGGGTGACATCCAGACCCTCACGATTGCATACACAGCAAAGTGTGTGTCTGGGCATCCACCCAGCCCATTCTTTGCTGGGGGTGGGAATGGGCCTAGCTCTCTCCAAACTGTGCAAGCTGAGGCAATACCCGGCAAGGGTCAGGCCTGGGAGGGGAGCTTTGATGTGGAGTTGTTGGATAGAGTTCCTTGGTGTTCTGGGAAAGAAGTTTTCAGCCCAACTTATGTGAATGGATTGTCTGCCAGCCTGCCTGGTACTGATTAAACCATGCACTGAAAAGGCAGCGGAGGGGGCGGGGGGGGGGAGAGAATGGGGGCACAACTGGGTTTACATCAGGTTGGGCCGGGTTAACTCCTGCCAATGCGCTCCGGGCTTCAATCCCAATTCTGGCCTTCAAACCAAAGGACGCATCCACGTATTTCAGTTACCTGGGGTGACTGAAAAACGGAGATTCCTGGGTCTCAGGGGTGTGGGGTTCGGAATCAAAATCTTACAAGCATCCAGATCCACCGCTCTTAAGTCTGGACTCGAGGAAGATCTCATGGGCCTCTTTTTAACCCTCCCGTCTGGTTTGCAATTAAAACCCATCCTAATCTCCGGTGCCCTTGAGCGGTGTTAAATTAGGCGCACGCGCAGGTTACGCCCCAGGCGGGGTGGGGGTGGGGGCTCGACGGCGCTGAGTCGGCCCAACCCTTGTCGGTGGCTGGGCGGGGCCATCGGACTGAGTGGGCGGGGCCATCGAGCTGAGTTTCCGGGCCCGCCGCCCTCCAAACGGTTTGCGGGTCTCCGCCCAAGTCCGCTGCATCCAGCTGAGCACTGGGTCCCCCTGTTCTCTCCGGGAGTGGGGAGTCGGGGTATATCGCTGCTCGGAGCTTTGCCGTGCCCCACGAGGCCCAAGAGAACAGACCGACTGCCGGGGAGCCAAAGATGTTTTCACCACTGTGTTAGATTCTACAAACCAAGACCTCCTTCTTGGGGTGGCGGAGGGGGAGACTGAGGCCCTACAAACGAAGGGAGGATCTCCCAGCTTGAGACCACCGTCCTGGGCGACACAGAGTATAATAGGTCTTTCAGCTAACACACTTAAACGATGTCTTAATTTTAAATACTTCAGGGTGTTGGGGTTTTTTTTTTATTTTTTAAAAAAATTGTTTTATTTTAAATGTATCTGAATGGTGTGCACATGTGAGGTCAGAAGCGTTGTATCCTCCTGGAGCTGAAGTTACAGGTGGTTGTGAGCTGCCCATCATTGATCCTTGGGGACCGAATTCTGGTCGTCTGGCCCTGCATGCTCTTAACCGCTGAGCCATCTTTTCCGAGCCCCTCTACTTGAGGTTTTGATGAACACTTTCAGAGGACATAAGTATATATCCAATTGCTTTCCTCCTGAGACTGTCTAGTCTGCAAAAAGTTGGAACTTGGAAACAATACTGTCTGCGAGACAGTTAAGTGTAGTGTGCGCACAAAAAGCGGCCCCTCCCTGCCGTGTCATTTAATTAGCAGAAGAAACCTCTGTTTCTCCATCTGGAAAATACCGATTACCCATGCCTGTCTCACAATGAAATCCTAAGGATCTAATGGGAGCACGATTGTAAAGACATTGCGTGGACTGTAAAGCGAGTTATAAATAACGGGATTGTAAAGCAGCCTTGCGTAATGGAAAACGCTGGAGAGTGTATGGAACCCGTGAGCTAGATTTGTGGGACCAAATACTTGCCCCCGTACTGAGTTAACCCACTTGGTAAGAAAAGTGTCTTGAATCATACAGAGACTGTGTGTGTGTGAGTGTGTGTGTGTGTGTGTGTGTGTGTGTGTGTGTGTGTAAGGAAGGTTTTGGATAATCAGTGGACTGAGTTCAAACCCACTTTCCAGCAGTGGTTTTTAAGTTAAGAATCCCTGCCGCTTCTAGGGATTCTTGGGGAAAAGTTCGGAGGGTGAAGTCCCTCATTTTTAGTGGTATGTGGAATGTAACAGCAGCTTCCTAAACATGCTTGAGAAGCACAGCTTCATAGTTGACACACACTCCTCTAAGCCTTCTGATTTTCATTTTGTAATCTTAATTATAGCTATAGAAAATGATTTGGTAGTTCAAAATCACCTTGGTTCTGTACAGGCTGTGGTTTTAGGAAATTAGATCTGAACTGAAAAGTTGGAGGCGTGTGCAGATGGCCCCCAACTAATGAGGATTCCACTGTGAAATCAGGATGCCTTCAGTGGAATTTTGATCTTCCTCGCTAATGATGTGTGTGTGTGTAACAATATTCCCTTGATGCTGGCCAGGGACAGTGACCCACAGCACATAGAGCCATTCATGTGGCCATGGGGTGGGGCATGGTGCTCTACTGTGGGCTGTGTTGTAGCTAGGTGTATTACTGCTTTTTTTTTTTTTTTTTTCTTGAGGCAGGGCCTTGCTGTATATCCTGGGCTAGCTTTGGTACTCACTATGTAACCCAGGCTGACCTTGAGCTCGTGGCAATCCTCCTGCCTCTTCAGTGCTAGTATTACAAATTGTGTCATCACACCTAGCTTAAATGTATGTTTTTACTTATACTATTTATCACCAACAAAGAAGTGTATCAGGATATAACCCCATTATAAATCAAGGTGTGTGTGTGTGTGTGTGTGTGTGTGTGTGTGTGTGTGTGTGTGTACACTCCATCTACTTTTTTTCTGTTCCATTCTTTGTTAAAACAAAACAAACAAACAACAACAACAAAAACCTTGCTCAGTGTCAGGTCCAAAGAAAGTAGGGACAGCTGGTCAGTGGTGGCGCACACCTTTAATC